GGAAGACCCTACCTCTGGGACGGGAGCACAGGATTTTACAATTTTTTCTAAACTGTCACTTGTATCTTTCCATCCCTGAGATTTACAAAAACCTGCTGAGGTATATATTATAGTTATTATACTCATTTTACAAAAGAGGTATGTGAGGCTCAGATTTATTAAGTTATGAAGCTAATAAATGGCATGATTGATCATGAGTTCAGGTATTCCAACTGAAATTATAGCTCAGTGAATACAAATAGTATCCTTAGTTTTTTTTTGTTTTCGGTTTTGGGCTTTTTTTGGTACCAGGGATCAAACTCGGGTCCTTGCACTTGCGCAGCAGGCAGTGAAACCACTGAGCTAAATCCCTGGCCCAGTATCCTTAGATTTTGGTGAGAAAAATTTTATCTCTTCTGGCACTCTGCTCATAACATAGGGAGATCTCCATCTCCATAAGACCTGAGTCATAAACTATTACCATTATCCTGTATCTATTATAGGCAAGCATTTATGAAAGGTACTATTAGAAATATCAACATACATGGAATAAAATTCTTTTCCTAAACACATTCACATGATTTGAAATGATAAAAATGAACAAAAATTAAAATCTTCAGAACCAAAGATAAATACTATTATGCAGCAAAGAGATAATATTCTTAGGATGCAAACTGCAATATTGGAAGTAATATTCCATTTTTCATGTAATCATGGAATTCTGAGAATAAATCAGATCGTACAATTGTTAAAAAAAACTGAAGAAAAAATATATTGAGAAAATAAAATGCTATGTGTATGAAGATATAGACAACAGACTGAAAATTAGACTTCAAAAAAAGAAACAATGACAGAAAATATTTTGCAGTAAGTATAATGGTGTCTACCATGGTTGGGTACTGGATGATTTTAAAGCTTTTTCTCCATCTATTCATGTGATAATGAGGTTTCTCTTCTGTAGCCTGATTATGTGATGGATTTAAACTAATTTCAGGATTTAAAAAATTTTTTTTTTAATTTCAGAATGTTAAACTAGCATTGCAAAACTGGAGTCATTCCCACTTGTTCATGAATTTTTTTTTTTTTTTTTTTAGCAGTGGCAAAGTTTATTCAAAAAAGCAAAAATGAAGAATGGCAGAAAAACTCGCTCTGCAGAACAAGCTTGTGCCAAGTAAAAAGAAAAAGAGGGTGAGAGCAAAGATAAAAATACATGCTCCATCTGGGAAACACAGCATGGGCTATTGTGGAAAGTTACAATAGCCTTGTTCGTGATTTTTAATTCTTTTTATAACTGTCTGATTCAATTTCTAATATTTTGTTGCAGATTTTTAAACTTATGTTCATAAGAGATTTGGCTTATAGTTATTTTTACTTCTAATGTCTCTGGTTTGGGTATTATGGTAATGCTGGCCTCACAGAATGAGTTAAGCAGTAGTCACCCTGTTCATAACTTCTAAAAAACCGTGCAGAAAATTGTCATCAGGACTTTCTTATGATTGATAGAAACTGCCAGTGAATAGATCAGGCCTGGTAGTACCATTTTGGAAAGTTATCAATTATTGATGAAAAAATTTAATAGAGATAGGCCTATTCAGACTGCCTATTTCTTCCAGTATGATTTTGGCAGATTGTATCTTTCAAGTAGTTGATTTATTTCATCTAGGTTATCAAATCTGTGGGCAGAGTTACTCATAATTTTGCTTTATTGTTCTGTGGATATCCATGAGATCTGTAATGTTCTCCTATTTTTTTTCTGATATTAGTAATCTGTATCTTTCATTTTTTTCTTAGCCTGGTTAGAAGGTTATATCAATTTTATCTTTTCAAAACATCAGATTATGAGCTTGTTTCATGTTTTTGAGTCCTACTGAAAATCAGATTTCTACTAATTTTTAGTATTTATTTTCTTCTGCTATTTTGGATTAATTTACTCTTCTTTTTATAGTTTCCTAAGGTGATAGCTTACATGATTCATTTTAGGCCTTCTTCATTACGAATACATACATTTAATGTTATCAATTTCCCTCTAAGCATTTATTTTCACTGCATGCCACAGATTTGGACAAAGATTACTTTCATTTTCATTTAGCTCAAACTATTTTAAAATTTGTCTTCAGATTTTACCTTTGAGCCTGGTGTTATTTGAAGTGTATCATTTAATCTTCAAGTGTTTGGAGATTTTTCCAAATATCTTTCTGTTACTGATTTCTAGTGCAATTCCATTGTAGTCTGAAAGCAGATATGGTATGATTTCTAGTCTTTCAAATTTGTTAAGGCATCTTTTGTGGCCCAGAATGTGGTCTACCTTGGTGAGTGTTCTTTGTGAGCTTCAGAAGAATGTGTAATCTGCTGTCACTGGGTGAAAGAGTCATCAGTATTTATCAGATAGTTGATCCTTTCTTTAATGACTTGAAATTCCACTTTGATCACTGAACCAGTAATCTGTTGCTGTGAAACAAACTAACTCCTACATTAGTGCCTTAAAACAAAAACTGTATTTGCTCCCTGCATTTTAATCTGGGGCTTAGCTAGACAATTTTTCTGGTCACCTAAAGTAACCTATGTGGCAAGTGTGGTCACTTGGGAGATGGGCTAAGTGATGACTGGTCCTGGATGACCTCATTCCCTTGCATGGGATACTCAGCAAGGACAGGCAGGACAACTGACCTGTCACTCCATAGTGATCTCTTGCCCACATGGAGGTTGATCAGGCTTACTCACATGGGAATCACAGGAGAACAAGTAAGTGAGGGTGATAACAGAAGTAATAAGACCTATGAAACCAAGGCTAGGAAATCAAGTATCACTTCTGCAGCTTTCTTCAGGTCACAGGGTCAGAACAGTTTCAAGAAGGGGAAAAAAGAGCTCGGTGTGGTGGCACATGTCTGTTATCTCAGTACTTGGGAAGCTGAGGCAGGAAGATTGCTATGAGTTCAAGACTAGCCTGGGCTACATAAAGAGTTCAAGGCTAGCCTGAACTACATAGATCCTGTCTAAAAAATAAAACAGGATAAAGAATCCACTCCTTGATGTGGCAGCCTCCAGGAATGGCTCAACAATTTCTGGCCATCTCCACAAACATTGTACCAGCTGTATACTAAATTTTCCCAAGCATTTAGATCTTCTTATAGATTTCTTTTTTGGCGGGGTACCAGGGATGGAACTCAGGATCTTGTGCTTGTGAGACAGGTGGTGGAACCACTGAGCTAAATTCCCGGCCCTGTTTATAGACTATTTTTAAAAATATCATCCAAACACTTGTATTTCTATTCACAGGCAAATGCATCCTTAAACTATTATTAAATGTCTGTTACCTCAGTTTTCCATTATTCTCCTTTTTATTCTTTTTTTTTTTTTTTTGGTAACGGGGATCGAACTCAGGTCCTTACGCTTGCAAGGCAGGAGGCGGAACCACTGAGCTAAACCCCTGGCCCTCCATTATTCTCCTTTTAAAAACATTTCTAGAAATTCTCACTCTTTACATGCTCTTTAGAATGATTCCAGCTCCATGCAAAAAAAAAAAAGGAAAAGGTAGCTATGTTATAGAGATTACATTTGTAGGAATATTAATAGGGAAATTACTGTCCTGTGCCTTGTATTTAAGAGTATGATTTATCTTTCTATTTATACAAGCTTTCGTTTATATCCCAGTTCTCTTTTTACAGGTTTCTTCACATTTCTTGGGCTTATTCTTAATTTTTTCACTATTACATATGATACTTATATTTTCTTGCTGGTTATCACAAAGAAAACCTGTTACCTTTTATATCTTGGATGTGCTGTTACATGCAAGTTGCCCTCAGTTTTCCTAATTAACTTCATGAAATTTAGGCATGAGTCAGCTCACATAGAGTCTGACATAAGGTAAATGGTCAGTAAATTTTACTAATTGTTAATATTATCATATTAATCTGAAAATCAGCCATCTTACTTAGTTGATTTTTCCTATTGTTTCTACTAGTAGTTTTTTACTTGACTTTCTAGTCTTCAATACACACAGAATCACAATCTTGATCATTCTGTTACTTCTTTCAGTATTTTAGTATGCAAATCTAATAATTACCAAACAATAATAAATGAAAGTAGTACATATATACTGATATATATCTTATTTTTGAAAGGCAAGAGTATTTCTACTGTAATGTAAATAATGGCTACATTAATAGTCTACAGCATATCTACACCAACAAATGGCTATACATATTCCTCAATTTGGAATATTTGTTTCATTCAACAAATTAAAAATAACAGTCATCTTCATAAATAAATATCCGGACATGTTTTACATTATTTCACTGAGTAGCCTAGAAACCAAAGCAGACTTCTTATGTGGCTAATACACATTACTTTTCAACAACACTATGCTGATCTGTCCTCCCATCAGTAGTGTATGTGGGCACTTTTCTTACTGTATCTTTGTCAGCAGTATTTTTGAGAAAGGCAAAGTGACAACTTTTTTTTCCTCTTAGCTACTGTTTAATTACACTTATGCCCTAATGGTGGAGTCTAAAAATTTTAGTTTCATCTAAAATCTCTACCCTTATCTAATCTCTTATGAGAATTAAAGAATTCTATTCTCCTTAAGAAATGGCTCTAGGAACAATCCTTAGAGATCTTCCCAGAAGAAGCACCACCACAGCCTCATCTTCCAGAACCTGATCAGTTACCACAGGATTTCTAAACCTCAGCCCTACTGACATTTCTGCTGAGATCATTCTTTGCTGCAAGCGACTATCTTGTACACTGAAGGATGATTAGCAGGGTCCCCGGCCTCTATCCACTTGATGCCAGTAGTGCCTTCTCCCCAAGTTGTACTAATGAGAACTGTGCCCAGGTGTAGCCAAAGAGCCCTTGGCAAAATCATCTCTAGTAGAATACCACTGTGTTAAGGGAATGATATTCTATGGGTCAGAAACCAAGTTCGTGACCACAGGCATGTTTTGACAGTTCAGATACACTTTTGTTACAGGAAGAAACCAAAGAAAAGCAGAATGAACTAAAATGTGAGACAGAATACTCACTTTGCTTTATAAGGTGAATCAGAGCCACAATTTTTTGTTTCTATTAAACTCTCATATTCCTTGGCCCTAAAGAGAAAAAGGTTTTAGCATTGTTAGCTTTTTTGTTGCTAATTTTTATAATTTTATAACAATCCAAAGCCTTAGCTGTGTCTTTCCTTTCATAAAGTCATACTGTTAGGGTCACAAATTAATTACATTAATTTTAATACTTGGATTTTTGAAATTGCTTCTTTAAATTATTGTTATTATGAAGGACTGAAGATTACATACTGCCTCGTAAGATATACAACAGACTCATAAAAACACTTCTAAGTTTATAGATTGGATTAAAAATGTGGTTTTTTCCAGAAATTTAAGTATCATTATAATTCAATTTGAAAGTCTATTAGATTTCTACAAAGCAGAATTGGCTAACTATGTAAGTACCTCAAGAGATATATAATGCAAAAATAAGTACAAGTAGAGAATAGTCATTTAACTTTAGAAATCATTTAAAATAAATTGATCAGATCCTCAAAGATTTTGGTTTTGTTTATACTAAGCACCACAGGTTTTGAAAATTCAAGATAACACTTTCTTGCCACTAACTAGGCTCTAGCTTGTCTAAACCAGAGGTGACAATCCTCAACAGATGATGAGTTGAAGACAGATCTCATAACAGCAATCCATTAATATTGATTTGTTTTTCTGTCTTTTGGGAGGAAAATATTAAATGTTAACTGCTCATCCAAAGGATCCTTTTCTCAAAGAATTAGTCCAGTGGCCTATGAAAAACTTAATCACAACACAGACCAATCTAAACAGCAACTGACAAAAAACCCCAAACTGTTTCATTAAAAAAGTGAAAATGCAAATTATAACATTCCTAATAAAGAAAGCAATATAGCACAGTTAGTTTTGGAAATAAAGAAATATGTAAATTGGAATAAAACATGACATTATATATTGTTTCATTATGTATTGTTTGCTATCAGCCAAAATATTAAGGTATACCAACATGGGTAAATAACTACTTAGTTGCTGAACACAATTGTTACCTCATCTGAAGGGTGGAAAAAATAACCATTATGCAGTGTTAAATATGTTTCAAGCTTTGTGCCAGATACTGTACATTCATTATCTCATTTATACACAAACTCTTAATATGGTATTATCCCCATTTTTCAAAGAAAACATTGAGGCTTAGGAAGATGCCTGTTATACTAGACATACATTGAGCTAAGGCTTAAGGTGGGAGAGATCAAATCCATTCTTTTGTTCATGCACACATAACAAGAATTATCTCACCCACAAATTCTAATTTGACCTGAAACAGTAGATTACTACTTTTTTTGTAACTTGAATCTTGTCTTGATTCACTTTTAGGAATCAGTTAAAAATTTTCTTCCATAGGTCCCACTCTGTATAACTTAGATGGTGGAGGATAGGAAGGGGGAAAGAGGAAGGGAAGGAGAGAGGGAAAGAGAGACAGAATATATTCAAGCAACTTAATCTCCAGAAAGGAGAAAGGGAAGAAGACATAATAGCATTACAAATACATAATTTCATAGAGCAGAGTGACGATGAATATGGGTAGTTGCTGTTATAGTAAGAGCTGAAGTTGATCAAAATTAACCCATTTATTCACTACACAATTTCAAAATAGTTACATCAAGGCAATTCTGCCAATGCAAATGATATCTAGGTGAGGGTACAGATTTCCATCATCTCACCTTTAGCATTGTAGATTCTTGCTTAGAATTTGCATTTCTCTGCTTATATTGCTCATCTGTTCTTGTATAATGTTTACTTTACCCTCAGGAGCCCTAAATGTATTAGTTACTTTGAATTCCCACTATTATAATTCTAACATCCTTGCCATAGTTGAATCTAGTTCTGATGTTTGCTCTTTCTCCCCAAATTATGCTTTTGCCTTACAGTGTGCCTTGTAATTTTTCTTGATAGACATAATGAATTATGTCAACAGAAGTGGTGTAAGTAAGGCTTTAGTAAGGTGGTAAAGTGTGGGCATTTAAAAAAGCCTTCTGTAGTTCTATAATTATTTTTTAGCCTTTTTAAAAAAAGTCTCACTAAATTGCTAAGTTGCCTAGGCTAGGCTTAAACTTGTAGTCCTGACTCAGACTCCTAGAACTCTGGGATTACAGGCATGAATCACCATGCCCAGCTATGCTCTATCTTTTAATGAGTCTGTGCCTCTGAAGTGTGAGCAAGTGTTTTCTACTCATCCTCCCCACTTAGATGGGACAGAATGGCTAGAGTGAGTTGGAATTGGGTATTACCTCTTTTGCTACATGGAAAGGTACAAGGGGCCTGTCTTGAATTATTTTTCTTTCTCCACAAAGAGGTTGGAGTTGAGTATTTCCCTTCCTTCCTTCATGTCTGTTAGGGTCTAATAAAGCCCCAGCACGTCAGACTCCAGTTAAATAGTTTCTCCTACCAGCACAACTCAACTTCTTTTTTTATTTTTTATTGGTACTGGGGATTGATTCCAGAGTCTTTGCAATGAGCTACATCTCTAGTTCTTTTTTATCTCAAGACAGGTTCTTCCTAAGTTGCCCAGGTGGGGTTCAAAAGTTGTGATTTTCTTGCCTCAGTCTTCCAGACTGCTGGGATTACAGAAGTGTGCCACCACACCAGACTCACAGAACTTCTTAAGAAAAGAATGTTGTGGCATACTATAGAATTCCCTTTTCCAGCTGAAAGAGGCAGAGGAATTTTCTCCAATATTCATTGTGAGAAACTGGTCAACACTTCTAGAAGCAAACTCATGAAAAGTGTAAAGGTGCCCATGACTGGGCTCCCCAGAGTTCTGACTCTGAGTTGTCTATACCCAAGTCTTCAGTGATTCATAAAATTATAATTCTCACAACAATTTCTGCTCATGGATTTCTGTTCTGGTAAATTATGATTCTTTCTATCTATCTGTCCAGTTAGGGTACAGTGGTTTGTCCTGTGGCCTCATTTCTGATATATATATATGAATGAAAGGTCACTGATTTTTTTCAGCTTTTGACTTGTTCTTAGGATGGAGTGGCACCTTCCAAGCTCCTTACATGCTGGACCAACATCACAAAGAATAGGGATTATTTTTTGCAATTTAAGGCATAAATGCATCAACTTACATGCAATAATCAAAATGAAAGACACAAATTACCCAAACTGAAAAACAAAGAAATATAACTTCATTCATGGGAAATTATATATATATATATATATATATATATATATCTCCAATCTTATACAAATACAGAAAAACAGAAGAGAATGTAACAGTAACCAACTCATTTACAAAGGCCAGAATTCTCTTTATACCAAAACCAGACAAAGACATGGTAAGGAAACTATACACCAACAAACATCATGAGCATATGTGTACAAATTCTCCACAAAACAAACAAACAAAAATTCTCTACAAAAGATAAGCAAACTAAATCTGGAAAGATATAGAAAAGAAAATACATTGTGAGCAAGTGGCAGATTCTAGGAATACAGGCTAACATTCAAAATGCAAATCAAGCATATTTTAAATGGGGAATTTTATCTCAATAAAAGTATTTAAAAATCATTATAATGCATCACACTGACAAACTAGGAATAAAAGAAAGCTTCCTTAACCCAATACAGGGCATCTACAAAAAAAAAAAACCCTATGGCTAACATCACAGCTTAGTGGTAAAAAACTGAATGCTTTCCTACCAAGATAAGGACCAAGGTTTCTGTTCTACATTTAAATGAAGACACAAGGCATCACAGTAAGATACGACGAAGAAATAAAATATACACTGAAAAGTGAGAAATAGCACAGTTTTTATACTCAGATGTCATGTTCATGTATATAAAAAGCTCATATATTTACAGAACTACTATTACAACTCAGAATTCAATTTGACAATGTGCCAGGGTATAAGGTTAATGTGTAAAAAAATCAACTGGGGTTCTATACTCTAACAACAGAGAAGTTTAAAAATGAAATAAAAATAACATTTTCAATAGCATCAAAACCATCAAAATACTAGGGATAAATTTCAAAAAATATTTGTAAGACATATACTGAAAATCATAAAACATTACTAAGAGAAATTTTTAAATTTCTAAATAAATGCAGACATACCCTATCATACCATTTCTTCCCAAGCTGATCTATAGATTCAATACCATCCTAACCAAAATTTCAACAGACTTTTTTATTTTATAAATTAAAAAAAGATGACTAATATTTATATGAAAATGCCAAAAGTCCTTAGACAACTAAAACACTCAAAAAACCATAAAGCAGTTCTATTTTACTTGAAGACTTCTTATAAATTTATCATAATAAGGTAGTTTGAAGATAGACAAATATATCAAAAAGCAGAATTAAAGAAAGAATCCAAACACAGATCCACAGATCCACAGTATTTCTGAAAAAGTTTTTAAAGCAAGAAATTAGAGATCAATGGAACAGAAGAAAGTCCAGAACAGACTCACATACCTAGGGTGGAGTTTTTTTTCTTTTTAACCAAACAGTATAAATGCTAAATAATAATATAAAAGGAAAGTCCTGGGACAACAGGCTATCTACATGGAAAAATAAACCTGAGTCTGTATTATATGTCATTCTCATTAATTTATTTAAGATGAATCATAAGCCCAAATGCAAAAGATCAATTATAAAGCTTCTAGAAAGTGAGAGGCTATATTTAACTTTCTGACAGGCAAAGATCTCTGAGACATAACCCAGGAAGCACTAGATATAAAAGGATAATGCTGATGAAATAAGTAGTATAAAAATTAGACTTTCACTTATAAAAAGCTATCATCAAGAAAAATGTATAGTCAAGCTCCAGATGAAGAGAAAACTCTGTGTGTGTGTATCTGACAGAGTTGGTAGTCAGAATATATAAACCACTCAAAAATAAAATTACAGGCCACTTTTTAAAATGGGTAATATCTTCAAAAGATACTTCATAAAGGAATATACTGAATGGTTACAAAGCACACAGAAAGATGCTTGATATAGGTGATTAATCACCACAGAATCTCATCCGGAACCACAATGGGATACTACTACATTTCTACTAGAATTGGGTAAAATTTAAAAACTAACAATACCAAGTACTAGCAGGATTATGGAGAGTACAAAATGGTACAACTACTATAGAAAACAGTTTGGCAGTTAAGCTTTTAGGTATTTATCCAAGAGAAATGAAAACATATGGTATACCCAAAGACTTGGTAATTTTACTTAAAAATGCTCCAAACTGGAAACCCAAATGTTTATCAAGAGATGAATGGACAAAAAAACTGCAATATTATCCAAACAATAGATATGTTCACCAATAAAAATGGAATAAATTACATTTACACACCACTAGCCAAATTTCAGAAAGAGTACACTTACAAAAAGCTAATTACAAAGGTGTGTGATTTCATATGTGTGACTTTCTAGAACAGAAAAATGCAATCAATAAGAGTCAGGAGATATGTGACTGCCTTGGGTCAAGGGCAGCAGAAAACAGACTACAGAGAAGCACAAAGAACCTCTGTGGGACAATGGAAATATTCTAAAGTTTGATGGATACAGATTACATGGGTATTTAGATTTGTCAAAACTCAAACTGCACAAGTAAGCTCTGTGAATTTCACTTAGTAAATGAAGTCTTAATGAAAATATCAATAGATATAGGTATATACATAAAAACACATCTGCCCCAAAATAGTGGTGGCAGCAGAATTGTATTTTTTCCTATGATTATTTACATTTTTAAGATTTTCTTTAATAAATAAGCACCATTTATTTAAAACAAACAAATCAGGCCCTCAAGGAAGGCCTCACTTAAAGATAACACTTAAAGAAAGACCTGAAGGGAGTAAAGGAGCCCGATGTGTGGTGCATGGGAACAGCCTTTCAGGAAGAAGAAACTGGCCTGTGAAAACTCTAAGGTTTCCAGAAGTGATGGAGGGGACTCACATTTCACCAGGTTCCCTGCCCAAGGTGGTTAGTATGGGGAGTGGCAGGACTGGTCAGAGGTCTCTAGCCACACTGGAGAGAGAGGAGAAGCACATGGAACAAGGGAAAGCAGCAAAACTAGAGAGAGCTGTCAAAGCTCAGTATCTTTTGACCCAAACCCAGCACTATCTCTAGTCAGTCTGAATGTGAGGTGTGGGGCAAAGAGGCTGCAAATGACTGAGAAGGTTTGGAGCCAGGTGATTAGAACAGAATTGGTTCACTGAGACAGAGAAGACTCTGGGATATGATGGGTTTTGTGGAGAGAGGAAAGCAGGTCTGTTGGACATACTAAATTTGAGTGAAATTGAAGGTATAAACGCAGTAATTATCACTAAGTAGAAGGTATTTAAAGAACAGAAGAATCAAAGAACAAGTGTCAGGAGTCAGTACTTACTTGGTATGAACTAGAAATGAAGTAAGCTGTGAAACTATTCTTAGAAACCTAGGGTGACTTCAAAACTAAAATCAAGAAAGCCTTCTCTATTCTTTGCATTGATGGACCCAGTGAAGTTAACACTGATTCTGTGAGATAAAATGGACACTTTGATAGATCATAATCTGGTCATGGAAATGACAGAGAAATAATTGTACCATTCACCATTATTTTAGTTCTATATTTTTATAATCTATCCTATGGGTCAAGTTTCTCAATTTTGGGACATTTGGTAATAAAAGTGTACGGACATATTCAGAATACTTCTTCTCAAACATCACTAGATTATCTACTAAGGAACAACTCTATCTGAGTCCTCCAATGAGACCCATCAGTCACCAGATGACACTCAATGCCAGTGAGGTAATGATGTACTACATGGTTGTCTGATCTTCAGATGTCACTTCAGAGGCTGATGATAAACTACAGGTCTGACAACTCACTTTCCATTTTAAGATATTTCTCGAACTTTTTCTTGTTGTGACAGGCAACCAAATTGATTAAACCTAGTCATGGGGTTTGACACTACATCCAGCAGACTTCTATTTGTTGATTGCTATTGATTTTCTTTGATACTTCATTTAAAAATCAATAGTTGGAAAGAAAAATAGGCTTGGTTTACACATATTTAAACATACTACTGCATGCTGAAGGAGGCACAAGTTTGGCAGGGTTCTGGCATCCAATTATAAGAAGAGCTCTTAACAGGTGAAAGCAAGGGCTTTAGATCGATATGCAGTTTCTGTCCCAATCAAAGAAAGTGGCTATAAATTAGGCTCATCAGTGTTATTTCCAAGGCTTTCTGAAAGCAAACAACTTTAACCTTTATTTTGTCTTTCTTGGATTTACATTAAAGGGTATCTCATGAATGCTGTTTTGCTTGGTTCTTAAAAATATTTAGGTACCTGGAGTTCATCCGAGCTTTTATCCTTTTGGCCTTTTTTTTATTTTTTTGCCGCTCTTCTCCATCTTTCACAGGCTCCGAGGGAGCTGAACTTTCAACCACAATGTCAACAATATATTTCTTCAAGGAAAGATGCTCCTACAAGATCAATCAATAAAATAGTAACAATGATGAATTTAAATAATATACAATTCCTACAGACCAATAAATGTAAAGATTTATATAGATAAAACTAAAAGTAATTGCTATGAAATACTGGTTTCCACGGTCACTTGGGAAAACTTTGAAGAATTTGTTTTATTTGAGAGTTCACTGCCTCATCATACCTTCATTGAACATCGACAGTATTAAAAGCTAAAAATACATGGACTGGACATAATCCCTGTCCACAAGTGTACTGTAAAAGGAAAGGTAGATATATTTGTCTTTTCTCCTGTTATTTATGAACACTTATGTTCCTGTCTGGGGCCAAGTCTTCCTCATATACACAGGATCCCAATCCTTCTTCCTTTATGGGGTTATTTCTCCTATTCTTGGCACCATTAATTTTCCCCTTACACTTAAATCACTTAAATTCTTTCTACTTAAATTATTTCAAAAGAATCCCCTTCCAGCTACTACCCCTTTTTAATGAGATACATTGAAAGTTTATCCTCTTTGTTTTTATTTCTTTAATCCTCATTCTCTCTTGAACCCATTTCAGCCAGCTTTTACCTTAAAATTTTTAGCAAGGTACAAATTGTCTTTGTCAAGGCCACCAACACCAACAGCAAACTCTTAGTTCTCATCTTCTTGTTGTAGTCTCAGCCCTAAATATCACTCCTTCCTCGCAGAGACCCTTTCTTCACTTGGCTCCTAGTTATTACACTGTCCTAATTCACTACCCCTTCTAAGTCCTCTTTGTTGGCTCTTTTCTTCTTGACTTCAAATATTGGTTTTTGCCAGAGCTATTATCAGAGCTTTCCTTTTCTCTCTTCAAACTCATCCCTCAAATGCAGTGGCCTAAAACATTATTTACCAATGAACAATGCTCAAATTTTATCCCTACTCCTGAACTTTCTCCTAAACTCCAATTATTTACATAAAAATATCTTCTCAAAAATCTCCTCTTAAGTAGAGAATTTCCATGACTAGCATTTCCAAAATAAAATGTCCCCTACAAAACTCTTATGCTCCCTATATACATACAGTTGCCTAGGGTGTTTCCTATTTCAATAAATGTAAAAACTTACATAAATGCATACATCTAATACATCAGCAGTCATATCCATTCTCTTTTCAAGTACAACCCGAACATCAACCTCCAAATCAACCACACTTGTCTTGTCACTAACACCTAATCTAAGTCACTAGTGACTCACTCTCACCTCCACCACTTTCATCATCTTTTAATCAACCTCTCCCTTTCTAATTTGACTTCCAGGTCTTTTCTCTATAAAAGCAGCCAGTTAGTATTTAAAAATATAAATCAAATCACATCATTCTACTAATCAAAACTTGCTTTCTCATCACACTTAGGGTAAAATCCAAATACTCTACCATGGCTTACAAAGTTCTGCATCATTGACCTCTCTGACCTCATATAACCCTCTCCTTTTTTTCATCATCCACCAGTGGTCTTCTTCGTCCTCCTCACATCCCTCAGAAACATTATTACCTCAGGACACTTAGTTGTTCTCTTAGCCAAGAATATTCTTCTCTTAGAAATTTGCATGGCCTCAGCTAAAACGACCATTCAATCTCTAAAAAATACCCTCTATTATTTGCTTTCTCCTTACTTTGTCTTTTTCTTCACAGGACTTGCCTACATCATACATTCATTATAGCCTTCTTTACTAAAATATAAGTTTCTCAAGAGCATTGACTTTCTTTCCTTCATGGATGTTGTTGTGTCTAGGACTATGCCTGGCATATGGCAAGCACTCAACAAAAATGTGTTAAGTGAATGAATAAAAAAGAGGGTAATGTAACAGAAGTGCCAATAAGGGCTTAGACAACATATACTAAAGGCTTCATATAAAATCATTCATTTAGTCCTTAGAACACACTTACAAGGCATGTATTTTTACTATATCCAGTTTAATTATGAGAAAACTGAGATACAATCAAACTTGTCCAAAGTTAGGTCAAAATCATGACTGAGTGATTTTGCAAACAGACAGCCCAAATTTAAATCTAGACAGTATGATTAGAGTCCACACACATGAGTGCTACCTTAGAGGCAGAGGTGCAACTGAGTCTGTGTTGTACAACTATGTTTACTTTTCAAATCATCAGCCTACCAAAAGAGTTCTCCTAAACCAAAAATCTCATAGCCAAAAGAAAAAATATTCTCTTACATAGAGAAAGGATGATTTTTCTTTGATAAACTAGGTCTATTATATATTACCTTTATATTTTGTAACTAATCAAAAACAATGATGTAAGTGATAAGTATACTCATCTATACATAAATCAACTTTAAAAAAATAACCCGATTCTTTCTTTTCTTTTTTTTATCATAACGAGCCTTTATTAAGAAGAAAGGACAATCTGCTGGGCTGCCTCTCAACAAAGCAGTGCAGCAGCGTGGCAGGGGCTGGAGCACCTTTATAGCAGTTAGGGGTAGGGGGTTGGGTGACATGATGGTGAGGGATTAGAGGGTTTGTGAGGCATGCCACCAAGGAATTGGAGGAACTTGTGACATCACTAGTTGCCAGGGAGGAAGCAAGTATCAGGTTACTCTTTTGGCGGGAAGGGGGCCATGTTGTGAAGAAGGTTGTCTTTTGGCAGGAGAAGCCATTTTGAGGGCTAGGTTTAGGTGGGAAACACTGTTATCATGGGAAGAAGAAAACCAGTTTGGACTAGAAGGACGGCATCTTGGGGCTGGGTCTTAGGTAGGAATGCAGTTGACTGTGGGAAGAAGAAGGGAACCTTGTGGCAGGAAATGGGGCATTATGGGAAGGAGAAGTCACCCATTAAATGTAGCAGCCATTTTAAGGAGAGGGAAATCTATCATTCCAGGCTTTTGTTTTATGGTTGCTGGGCGAAGGTCTCTTCTTCTGGATCTGTTTCAAGCTGACAGAGGGGAGAAGATTGAGGCTAAACCTGGATCTGACGGCAGATGGAAGTGTTGTCTCATTGTCGCAGTGGTTAGTATCCCACCATAACGAGCCCCGTGACCATCTGGTTGGTCAATTCCCTCATATGTTCCTGAGACACCGACAGTTACCCTGGGCTTGCTGGAAGTGATGGCCATGGGGGCTGTGGGCAACCCTGGGCACTGTCAATCCTCCATCGCCAGGCCGACGAGCTCTGACAGGGATGTCTCTGTACCTGCTGCTTGGGTTTGAGGAGGGGATCTGGTTCTTTCTTGGCAAGGGAAGGGGAAGAGAAAAGGAAGGGGCCCATTTCCCATAAGATACATGATATAATGCAAGTTGTATGTGGACTCACCATCCACATTATCATTTATGGAACACTTATTATGCGGTTAGCAAAGGGCTGGAAAAATTACACACATTATTTCTTGTAATCTTCATAACCTTATAAGACAAGTGGTAGTATGTTTACATTTTACAGATGCTTAACAAATACAGAGAAAAACCTCAAAGAGGTTTGGTATTATGCTCATGATCACAACAAACCTGAAAGTCAAAACAACAACTGGCTGACTTTACAAGATCAAATTTTTTCACTATTCTACATTCCTTCCCCCTAAACTGTTCACATAGGCTAGTCTCTGACATGTAATTTCTACTACTACACTAAGGAAAAAGAGTATTCTAAATGACATCTTTGACTTTATGAAAGGTCCAATTATACTATTTTAGCTATGTATAAATATAATTTACATGTCTAATAGAAACCATTAAGGATCCTAATATACAGTGGCAGGCACTATACTTTGATTCTATCTACAATTATCCAGAATCACACTTTTAAAATAGACAATTCATTTATGCATGCATTCACACAAACACACACATGGACACAGACAAACACACTAGGTTCTTACATTAGTTTTTAAAAAATCTTAAAAATAACAGTAACAACTTTTCTTAATACAAAACCATTTCATATTATAGAAAATATGGATAAATAAAATTAAGGTAAAACCTCCTACAATTCTAACACCTAAAAATAACAAGTAATATTTTGGAGTACATCATTCTAAAGTACATCATTCTTTGCATATGTATATATTTTTATAAAAAGAGAATGTAACATTTATAACACTTTGGACTCATTTTTTCATATAATGCTCTAAATGTATATACTGACCATAAATTAATATTTTACAATATAAGCTTGCAGCTATAAGGTATTCCATTTTGTGGATACACTAATTTTACTAACATGTTATTATTAGACATATGAACAATTTTAAATTTTTCAATACAATAATAATATAACAAATATTCATAGAGTTAATATTTAAACACAAAGCCAACTATTCCATTATGATTAAATCACCAAAGTTAAATTCTTAGGTCACAAACTACACATATTTTATGGCTTCTGGAAAATATTCCCAAATTCAACAACAAAAAAGGGAATTAATTTATGTCCTCACAAGCAGTTTGCCAATTCCTACTGTTTCTGTTTTGTTTTTAATTCTGCCAATTTGTTAGCTGAAAAACTGGTATTTATATGTTTGACCATTTGCTTATATTTTGTCTTCCTGTGACTTAGAATGAGTCTTTTGTTCAGCTTTCTAGAAACATATTTCAAGTTTTATGTATTTGCTTCTAATGGCTTATTTTTTTTTTTTGCTTTTTGTAAGAGCAAGATCACCTTTTGATGATAAAAGAGATGCACTGTTGAGTGTGACACAGGATAATCAACAGCTATTTTTCTATTAAAACCGTGAAGGAACTAAAAAGGAAGAAGATTTTGACATGGCTCCTGAAGATACAAAGTATGTAAAAAGGTTTTACAACCTTGATCGAGTAGTTTACTAAAATCCTTATAAAAGAGAATTCTGAGAACAGTGGTAGCAGAGTTTTAGATCCTGAATTCCTACATAAAAACAGGAAGATTAGTTTATAGGAAAGGAAAATCCATGGAAACATTTGCTAAAACTAGGTGATGAGGATTCCCAAACAGAATAGGTTTCTGCAGGAGAAACCAGAGGGAGACAACAAGGTGAACAGATG